TGTACTGTAAATGAGACCTTTCCAACAGTCCTGCAGCCAATGCCTTTTTTTCTTCATGGAAAGGAAGCTGCCTTCGTGACATCCCCTCCTGATTTCTGATTTCCACAGCGTGTTTGAAGCTCAAGTGTCAGGTTCTTCATAAAACCTTCTTTCCAGTATTAGGTTGCATGATCAAGTCCCACTTCCTGGGTTGGCTTTTTTAAAGTGTTCAATCTACCAATTCATTTAGAGTGAGCTGTAGATAACATGAACCAGTTCTGGAACCACTATATTGGGAGGAACACAAGCTCTTCACTACAACCACACAATAGGAGGAAAAGTAGTGATAATTCAATTCATTCCTGGGGCTGGACCACCAAAATTGAATGAACTTGGCACAACTGGAGCATTAAATTTGTATCCACCATGCTTTTCAATCATTTTGGATTCTGAAAGGGAGGGGAAAATTAAATTATCCAAATGTCAAACTTTGTTTGTTAAAGCTGTATTGAGTTCTTCATGTTCATTCTTAATTCAAACTACAAAAAGGCAATTTTAAAAAAAAACTTTTAAAAAACACTTCAAGAGTCTCAAAATCACATATTTTATAGACCCATATTTTATTTTTGTAAGAGTGTAATATAGTACAAAATCTGAATAATGAAAATGAAATTTATTCTATCTTATGCAACAACCCACTTCAGGATCATACTGTTAGTTCCATCTGTTAACATCAAATCCATGCTGATGCAGTTATCCCTGTTCCCCTCTTTAGTTTTAACATTAGGTATATTTCCTTTTGTAGAATGCTCTTATCCAAGAGCTAACTAGACTTTGCTTGGCTTCAAAGAACAGATAAGATGAAGTCCTTTCAGTGCCATGTGTGTTGGCACAGGCCTTGTTAGTAAAATGATGACACAGCCATATTTAACAGTAAGCAGTTGTATAAAACCTTGTGGAAACATCCATACCATGGGCTGCTCTCCGCTGATCTGCTAAAGTTGCTATGTCCTGTAACTGTTTTCTTTGCTCTTCATTAAGCCCATGTGTCAATGCTTGGTACCACACAGGATTACGATTTTGAATTGCTATGGAAGAAAGGGACATAAAATTATTTGAAACTCTGATCAGACTGAAGATAATCACAGTTCTCTATTTTTTAGAAGCACCTCTCTGCAGTTATAGTCTTCTAAGTAGAAGCATTCATATTCATTTTTGTAGCATTAGGGTTGAACGTGTAGATCTACTAACTTGTTTTCACAGGGAGCTTTTTAAAAGCTGGTTTTAATTTCTTGCATTTGAATAGGGAGGCATTTTATACAATGTAGAATCATGTACAAAAAGGCACGATGAAGGAGCAAATAAAAAAGCTGTTTTCCAAGGATGGAAGGTGGGCATTCCTTTTTTTGTCAAGAAATTAGCTAGCCATCCTAACACTAACCCATGTCAGTGTTAAGGAATGCCTCAACTGCAGTTCTCATACTCTTCCATCCCTGAATCTTCTAGCCCCTCTGCACATCTAATGTCCCAACATTTTCTACAAGTTCTTCAATGTGAGACATTTTATTGACCCACTTTTTCAACACACAGGGATCTACAAAGAAACAAGAATAGAGATTTGCTCTACAAATTACAGCTGCTCTTACTCTGAAAAATTGCTTTAAATATCTGGTATTCATCAACAGGATTATCTTCATCATCAATAATAGTTGAATATCCTTCAAGAGCTGTCTCTTCAGCATCATCTTCTTCCCAGTCCTCATCATCCCCATCTTCTCCAGCCTGCTTAGCCAGAATCTCTAAATACTCTTGTCCATCTTCATCAATATCATCTTCATCACTCCCAAGTTCCTCTGCAAGAAGATGTAGAATCAAGAGATATTACTCAGGGATAGGAAAGGCTATCGTTTTTTTCTGTTTGTCATGGTGATAAATGTGCTTCTTAATAATTTTTCCACTTTTTGTCCAGTGCTAGCTTTTAATTTTTAAAATTCTGGGAAAAAATCCATGCTTTTAGACAGCAATCAATATAAATCTTGTCCATTTGCAATATACAGCTTGCAAATGAGAAACCAAAAGCCCACTATAGATGCATTACAAATAAATGTTATCAGATGAACTAAGTAGAGAATGAAAGGCACTAAAATTAAGCAAGGAGCTGAAACAACCACATGAAATAAGTTTCATCTTTGTTTTTAAAAAGTAAAATCAGAAAAAGGTTGAGGAATAGGCATGAAGCTAAAGACACCTTGACACAAAGAATGATGTTGTTTATCTCATAAGAAGAAATAAAAAAGGGAGATGAGGTAGGAGAGGAAGCACTAAATAGAAATACTCATATAACTTAAGTGAACAAAATGCTGACCAGGTTCATTTTATCAAAACAAGCCACCCATATCCTGTGGGTGGGTTATTTAAGGATTGTTTTCCCCTTCAATTTGTCAAGCTGCTTGGGTTCAGATTACATGACAAGCTAATGTCGTGGAGGTATAACAGAGTCCGGTACATGTCTCTTATTTAAACAAACCATGGTGGCTTGTTTTGATCATGCAAACCAGGTCAGTTTAAGCCACAGTAGTTGTTCAATTCTGTGAACTTGCCTACTGTGTGAAAAATAAGGAAGCAAACAGGCTAAGATCTGCAATCATTTTAATCTTACTTAGAAGACAGAAACTATACCAAGAAGTTACATGGAAGGAAAATCATATACCAGGACTACGTAGAAATGAAAAAACAATGAACAGTTGCTTGAAAAATCATCAGTGATTTACCTGCTTCCTCATCATCTTCTGCATCATCATCATCATCACTATCATTTTCATGTTCAGCATGGCAAGCATATGCTCTTTTCAAGCCATTAAACAAGAGGATGAAAGCTGGCAAGATTTGACCTGAAACCTGATTTAAAACCTGTGGTATTTGCTCCAGATCAATGAGAGCACACAAGCCTAGCACACACATTTTTCTGTCATGAAGCCTGAAATGCAAAAGGAAATTTCATATTACATTTTTTCAACTTCAGGGAAAAAAGAACCCAAAAGACCATCTTTTAGAGAAGTGTACTGGCAAAGTAAATCTGTACTTGCAGCACTATATTTTTCACTTCTTCCAAGCAAATATAACCCATACTGCATGAATAAGCTAGATGGACTGAAACACCCATTGCGTGCACACAATTCCTTGTCTCTACATTAAAGGGTTCAATTAGTCAGGGCCATAATTTTAAAGAGACACCAAGCTTACCCCAAAAAACAGTCTACATCATTGAGCCACTGTGTGATGAAATGACTGGTAACAGGCTCCACATTATTGGGGAAGCGAAGATTTTCCAGGGTGTTCAGAAGAAGATGAGGATTGTAATATAGAGCAGCTATGGCAACCTGGAGGCACATTGTTCGCAATTCACTTGTTTTAACTTCTCTGGTCAATCGTTCTAAAGCAGCTTCCACAAATAAAGGTATACACTGCAGAGAAGAGGGAAAGAATCTTAGTTAAATGTTTCAATATAGGATTTCAGTACTGAAAAATGACAACTCATTTATAGCAACAATATCCACTGATAACTGAATATTAGCATGCTCAACTTGCAATCAACACAAGGGCCAGAGGCATAGCTTCTCAACTAGTGTTCCCCACCCTGGTGTCCTCCAAATATGTTGTTTTACAACTCTCAGCCTTCAAAATAGCATGGGAGCTGATGGAAATTACAGCTTTAACTCATTTGGAGCGTAATGGCTCAAGCAGGATTGGTATAAACTTTCTAATATAATAGAAGCAGCCTATCCCAACCACTTTTTTCATCCATTGCCTCACCATACAATGTGTGCTGCACAGTTGCAGGGAAGAGCAAGACCAGGGAGAGATCTATGACTTCCTTTCTTCCTGGGCTTTGGGATATTTAAAGGTACACAACTGCAAGGAGGCAGCTTTACTGATATTGCAGGTATAATCAAGTTACACCAGACAGCAGTAAATAAGTTAAATTCAGCATGTGAAATTTAGAGATACGGGATTTGTAAATCTTTATCTTCACGAATTACACAACCATGAGTGTACAAAATTATTAACTTCAAATTACAGATGTTTGGGGTTTTTTTAGTTAGCTCTGCTTCATCAAGAAAAATTGACACTCACTTTCCAAATAAATAGAAAGAAGGCAGAGGCTTCAGAAATAATCTACTAAAGTTACAGTATTACTATCTTTGTGGGACACACTTGTCTTAAATTACTTTCTGATTGTACATGAAAAATGGCAATTGACTGTTCACCTTCAAAAAAATTGTGTTTCATGTAGTTTAAGACAGCCTAAAGATCATTTTATTTACCTGATCAATGCCACGACCTTTACATTGTAGAATGATGACCTCTAACAACTTTGCTGCATGACATTCTGCATCTTCCCCTGCCACACCTGTAAGAACCTAAGAAATGTGCTTTTTTAATTTCAATTCTAAATATTTAATTATTTTACTTTCCCTGAAAGAATGCAAATTGTAAGAGATTCCATTTCTAGCTTCTGTCAGTAAAGAGAGATTGTATTTAGTGTACTATTCTAGATTTAGAAGCACATTAGGGAAAAAAACACTACTTGGAAAATGTTACTGAAACTATTCCACATCTACAAACCTGAATTCCTGTTCAGGTTAGCCAGTGAAAACATAAGAATGTGACTTAATATTTTTAGACATTTCTACAGTTCAGTTTACTCAGGTTCCCAAATTAATCACAGCCTACTGTTTCTATCCATCTCAAAACTGAACCATCAGTTCTTATAGCCCTGATCACCAAATGAAATGAAAGTCAATATATACTTAAGAGATCAATTTAAATGCTTCTTTCAAAACAGAATATGCACTACCAGATTTTCCAAACTGGATTCCTCACATTCTAAAATGTGCATATATGTGGTGAGGCTAATGTTTATAATACCCCCACAATACAGTCATCAGCAGAAATGTGAATATAAACAGGAATATTTAAATTGCAGTTTAAAAAATTTATTCTACCCCCTTCTTCCATATGTCTGTCTGAGAGTTTGGAGGCTGGCCAGTGGTAAGATTGTCTTTCGACATCACTAGACCAGTACTATGATCTCAATTTTCTCTTTGGCCACAGGTTGTATGTGAGCAATATAATCTAAATGCAAAACGCAAATAGACCATACTACTAGACATAGATAAGAAACTATGCACACGTGACTGCAGCCATTTTACACATGGGGGGGATGCAGGTACAAATCAGTTACCATATTTTTCTGTATATAAGATGATACTTTATCTTAAAAATATTTACCTGAAAATGGAGGGACGCCTTATACACAGGGGGCCACTTGCGGGTGTGCTCAGGGGGGAGGCGGGTGCATGTGCGCTCGGGGGGGAGGAGAGGCAGGTGCACTCTGGGGGAAGGAGACTGGTGCGGGTGCGCACGTGCAGCAGCAACTTGCTCGCTTGGAGATTGGTAAGAAAAGTGGGGCGTCCTATATATGGAGGCATCTTATACACAGGAAAATACAGTAAGTTGCTACCACACAAAAAAATCTAATTCGGAGATGGGCAACTTGCAGGCTTCCAGATGTTCTGGACCACAACTCCTATCAAGTCCTAACTAGCCTATTCGAATGATGAGGGAGGATTAGAGTTACAGGCCAAAACATACAGAAGCCCCAAAATTGTCCTCCCTGGTCTATTTGCCTTCACCATATACGAGTATCTAAACCAGCATGGGAAGGTATTACAGGAGCTTACAGTTTACTGGCTCTCTACCTGCTTAAATCTACACCATTTTAAGCAACCACCACACAACAAATGGGACAAACAATCCTAATCAGTGAACTCATTTAGTGTTATAATCTGCTTGTTTTTGAATTATAGAGCTTACTTTAAGTTTAAAACCTCACAGGCCTTGCTGGGCCTTGCAATTTCCCAAACAAGAATGTGATAATAGGAAGGCACACGTTTCCCTTTCCTGAGTTGATTTACAATATTTCTGCAGGATGTAATAATCTTGTCTGATGAGTTAAATGCTTAAAAAATTATTGGAGTACATACCTTTTTGCACATACTGTAGATCATTTCTAGGTATTTTGTATCAGACAGGAGCGTGTCTGTATCAACAGTTACATAATTATGCAACAGTGGCATCATATCTACATTTAAAAAAGAATAGTGAGCAGATGTTATATATGCTTTTACTTCTTTAACGTTATAAAAGCCATAACTTGTTATGGTATGCAGTATTTCAGTTCTGCAATACAGTCTGCTTGACAGTCACAGTAAAAAGCTTTACCTGTAAAGTAATCAAAGCCATCCTGCTGAAATACTTCAAAGACCAGAGGCAAAAGCTGCCACATCCGTGCGGAGACTTGCTGACAGGTCAGACTGTGAGCCAAGGAGAAGATTTCCTCATAAAATTCTGGAAAAGAGCAAGATGTCATTAAGCTTGGTTTGATCAATTCATGCAGCTTCTCATGCAGATTTATACCATTTTTTTTAAAAAGAAGAAAAAAAACTTACCTAAAACATGCTGTTGTAAAACTGTTCCAATTACTTGCAAACAGATGCCTTCCAACTGCTGGGTAATCTGGAGATGAATAGTTTAAATGAAAGACAAAATAAGCTTTAAAATGGTTTCAAGACCAGTTTTAAAATGGAGGATCTATTTGTAAAAGCAGAAATATGTAGAACATGACCCAAAACCTCCCTTCATGGAAGTGTTTTGCATAGTTTCAGATATTTTGCTTTTCTGCTTCACTTTGCTGGTTATATGACAGAAAAGCTGCTTCAGAAGTTCCTCCATGTTTTAAAGACCACGAAGCACCACGAAAAACTGCTTCCAAAACGAGTCAGAAGCTCTTCTGTGCACACAGAATTTACTTCACAATCTTAAAGATTAAGGTCACAGCTATTTTTCAGAAGCTATTTCACATCTGTGCAATAACCTCATTAGGCAACAACACACAAACTACAGTTGGCCAACTGTAATTGGTTTTTATTATCTTATCATTTCATGTCTTTTTGTTGTGTTTTTAACTTTGTTAACTGCCCAGAAAGCTTTGGCTATTGGGTGGTATAAAAATGAAATTAATAATAACTAAGGATATATGCTACACTGCCACAAGAGAACCATAGCAAATAGCTCACTGCTCTAAAGCAGCCCAACTGGTGTTCTATTGTCAGAATAGCTGACCACATCAGATCATGGGTCACTCCCAAAGTCTTCAGCCTTTAGCTAAAACTTTTCAAATTAGGTGGAACATGAAGAGAGGCCACAAGATTCCAATATGTTTATGCTAATTAGTAGGGATAGATTAGAGGCAATGGAGAGTACTTCTGCCTGCATATTATTTGGTGAATCTATCTGTTCCTAAAATTAGGAAGGCATTTACACTACCAGATTTAATGTTCTACCATTTGCATTCATGGAAGGAAAATTCAAAGGGGTTCCCTACCATGCACGTTTATGTCCCTGGGAGCTTGGGAGGAGTGAAGACATTTGGACATGCCTTCTTCCATTGAACCTTTTATCATGATCTCCAATTTTATCATTCCTTTATTACAGAAAATACCTGGTAGATCTGACTTATTTTACCTAACATATCTTTTATCAGATTGGTGCCCCCTACTCACAGCAAGAGTGACTAGTTTTTGTGCAGCTGCTATTGCGTGTCAGAAGGTGATGTTAAAATAATACTTCTGGGTTTTTAATTTTTAATGGGTTTGGATACTTCTATCTCCTATTTTACACTTGTTAATGTTTTATATATTTTATTGTATTTTATATGGCTCTTCATTGTGCTGGTCTATCACCAAAACAAAATATGCAAGCATACACAGGCAAACTTTTGTACAGCTGTCATAGACCTATAGACCTATACAAAGTGAGACTAGGGTATCAGTGAATTGTAACAATTTAATGTAAACTTTAAATTTTAGTGTATCTACTGATTTTATGGTATTTTAAGTTATTTTAATGACTTCTTTTTACTGGTCTCATGTTTTAATGCATTTTTACACTGATTTAATATTCTTGTGTTTTATTCTACTAGTCTATGATTGAAATAAAGTCATACATTCATTCACACCATAGTGCTGAAGGAAAATGAAAAACCTTTATGGAGACCTTTTATTTTATAGAAAAACTAAGATGAATATACAGCTTCCATACAGAAGTATCTGATCCTGCCTAATCTTGGAAGCTAAGCAGGGTTGAGACTGGATGAAATCTGAATGGGTGACTTAGATGCTGTTAACACCCAAAGAGCTTCAGCCATGGGCAGTACAGAAATGTACTAATATTATAAAATTATAACATTATGGAGAAAGTGGATAAAATTTTCTTTCACATACAATACTACAAAGTAACATCACCCAAAGGAACTGACTGACAGTACATCAAACACAAAGTGCTTTTTCACACAATGCCTAAATCATATTCTAAAATTCAAGGCCACAGAAGTAGCAATGTCACCAGCTCAGGAAATTTTTTTAAGCATTGGACAAATGTATTTAAACCATTTTTGTAGGTATATTCAAAAACGTAAGAAGACCCCTGCTGGAACAGACCAAAGGTCTGAACTGAGCATCTGGTTTTTCACAATGAACAGATTCCTCTGAGAAGCCAACAAGCAGGAAATGAGCACAATAGTGCAGTTTCACTGATATTTCCCCACAATTGATATTCAGAAGCAACTTCAATCAATAAATCATCATAAAAAATAAAATCACAAATCAATGAACATACATACCAGCAAAATTGAGGGGAAAAAACAGCAGCAAACAAATCCTTAAGAACAAAATCTTGGGAAAGCTTCTAGATTCAATAAAACAATCTTTGTTGCTCACCGAAAAGAAAGTGACAGGACCAGACACATCTTTCCTTTGATTTATTTCATTCCACTTCTATGCCACCGCATAACCCGAAGATTTTCTGGGCAGCTTACATGCTAGAACAGCATGGGGCTTTACAATAGGGCCCTGTCCACAGTGTCTATCTGCTAGATCTCTAATGGCAGGAAAATTTGGAGAACCTCCTCTGACATGAAACAAACTGCTTGGGCATACTCACTGGGGAGAAGGCTGATCTAAGGCTATTTAGGGATTGAAAAGGTCAACACTTCACAAATTTAATAAGCCACTTGGGAACACATAGATCCCACTTCTCCATGGATCTAGACCATACAGTCAGGATGCAAAAAATGAAAGGAGCTGCCAGTACAGATCCCTACTAACAAGTGGGACTACTTCTGACACCTGTTTCACACAAAATGGTCAGGCAATTGTGGTTTATGAGCAGCCAGGCATGCTGGATGTGTGCGGCCACCACAATATGCACCCTGTCGTTCACAACAAGACTATTGTGAACAACCCTTGCACAAACCTTAATTAGCAATGGGGTTACATGAGGGTTTAACTCTTGAATTATCCATGATGACCAGATTTACATGACAGGGTCCAACCCCTTAATACTCTGATTTGAGGTGTGTGTATTGTATATTCAAAATGGTGGCCAAACATACCACAACCAGTGCAACACAAATGGCTGTGTCATGCAAATTGGCTCAATGGCACCCATGTCAAAGTGGATGTGAGCAATGTTACCAGTAGAATGCCCTGCAAATGCTCAGCAGGCCACTGAGGATTCAGAGATGATAGATTTTATCAAAAGTTATTCAGTAGCATGGCCAAAGTGAACCCTAATTTTCAGAGGTACCATACTTCCTGAATACCAGAAGCTGAAACATCACAGCAGCAGAAGGCTTCTGCCTTCATACCATGATTATACACTTCTTAGGAGCATGCATCATTTGGTAATTGCTGAAAACAGGATGCTATACTAGATAGCTAGTTCTGCTTTTCTTACATTCCTATGAAATTTCAGAACCAAGGAAAGAACTACAAACCATTCTTTTACTTGTATGGGGAAGAAACTTCAATATTCATAAAACTTCTTGGCCCTTCACTGCTAGGAGCAGAACTACATTAAGACAAAACTTATGAAATTTCTTTTTCACATTAAAATTATCTGCTGCAGTTATTTAATTGCTCAAATTGTCCAAAATCTAGGCCACAGATGAGCACAATCACTGAGGATAAAAGGAAGGAGAAAAGAGTAAGCTTTTGCTTTGTTTTTAAGAATGAACAGAAAAGTAGCTCCTGAAAGAAACCTGAGAGGATCTGAACAAAGTCAAAGGAAGTAGCCTTAGT